CCTCTCTATTATTGTGTTGTTGTCTAATGAACAATGTACTAGGACTAATGTTGTTTTTTTCCACTATACATTGTATTATGACAATTGCCAACTATATATATTATTAATACAAAAAGGAATGTCTTATCCATGTGCCTACAAACATCTTTTGTCCAAATCCAAATAAGAAAAGGTTATAAATTAAAGATATCTAATGAACATTGGATGTGTACTTCAAAATTGTAGTGGAAATTGTTGATCTTATTTTAGATGAAATTGCCTTGAATCTATTTTGAATCACTTACAAACAAAACTTTGATTCCACAAAGTTAGATGTTCTAATGTTATTGTGTGTTTTTTTGTAAAAGGATAATTTTTCTTCTTTACACATGTAACAAACCTGAATTCCCTACTATATTGATAAGAGAACTGAAATGAATTACAATTTTAGAATCGTAATTGTAATACTTAAACTACTGAATTATAATGGAAATGGAAATAACAAGTAGCCAAAAATAGAGATAAGAATAAGGATGAGAAACTTAGACTCTAGAAGAAGAAAGGACATACATTTCCTTCAATATGCATAATTCCTAAATCACTGACTACTATCCCTTTTGATGAAACCCGTTTTCACATCTACTACTCAACCCAAATTCCAAATTAGCCTAAATTTATTACTTGTTCTTGGCCCAATAGCTCTTATCAACCCAATAACTACTTGTATGACCTTAGTACCCATATTGGGTTGAACTTGGTTCATAACAACACACATTCACTCTTCTAATGGAGAATATATATAAGAGAACTTAGAAAAATTTCTCAAATTTCTACTTTTTTATTTTAACCTTTGTGCAATAGTTTTCTTTAAGGGTGTGTTTGGTATGAAGGAAAATGTTTTCCAGAAAACACAAGTTGATTTTTGACTTATTTTCTCATGTTTGGTTGGTGAGTAGAAAATATTTTCCGGAAAAGATATTTAGTGTTTGATTCATGAATGAAAAATATTTTTGAGAAATATCTTTTATTTTTACTAGAGTAGAAAATAATTTTTGAAATTGAAAATAATTTTAAAAAAAAAACTTAAATTTTTTTTGGGGGTGGGGGGTGGTAGGGGGTGGGTGAAGGGGGGGGGGTGGGGGGAGGTCGAGGGTAGGGGTGAAAAAATGAAATTTTGAAATTGAAAATATTTTTTAAAAACAAACTTGAAATTTTAAATTTTTTTTGGGGGTAGGTGGGGGGCTGGTAGGGGGTGGGTGGGTGGGGATCGAGGGTAGGGGTGAAAAAATGAAATTTTGAAATTGAAAATATTTTTTAAAAACAAATTTGAAATTTTTTATTTTTTTTGGGGGTGGGGGGCTGGTAGGGGGTGGGTGGGTGGGGGTCGAGGGTAGGCTGAAAAAATGAAATTTTGAAATTGAAAATATTTTTTAAAAACAAACTTGAAATTTTTTATTTTTTTGGGGGTGGGGGGGGGGGGGTGGTAGAGGGTGGGTGGGGTCGAGGGTAGGGGTGGAAAAATGAAATTTTGAAATTGAAAATATTTTTTAAAAATAATTTTTAATATTTTTTTGGGAGGGGGTGGGGGTAGGGGTGAGGTCGGGGTAAAAAAATTGAATTTAAAAACAAGCTTTAAATTTTTTATTTTTTTGGGGAGGGGTTGGTTGGGGGGTGGTTTGAGGAATAAATTGGTTTTTCAATAAAAAATAATTGTAATTTGAAGTTGGAAGAGAGTTTTGGAAAATGTTTTCCTTAAGTTTAGAAGGGAAGTCATTTTCCTTAAATTTGAGGAAAATGAGTTGATTTGGAAAATATTTTCCAAAACATTTAGCCCAACCAAACATGAGAAAATTGGAAAACATTTTCCGGAAAATGTTTTCCTTCATACCAAACACACCCTAAGATGTTACTCAACTTCCTAGGTAACCTCCTTTGGTATTATCTCTCTTTCAAATGAATCAGATCAAGTAGATCAGTCCATATAGACGACCCCATGACTCAAATCAATATCCAACAATTATTATTTTTTCTTTGGGATTTTAGATCCTCTATGGACTGGCTGATAATTATAATATTCCTTGTCATTTATTTATTTTTCATTTAAAGTTGATAATGTTGATGTAGAATATCCTTAGATATTCACTTCTCTAGCCTTATTTTTTTTTAAAAAAATTACATCTGTATCTAGCTATAAAAACAAGAATATTTGATTTTATATACGACCCATCCTCATATATACAATGAATAATAACCCCTCAACCATGAAAACAAATTTAATTTTTTTCTCTTTTTCACTCTTTCTTTTTTACTTTTCTGTTCACTCTATTCAACTTAATTACGAGACAAAATATTTCACTTAAATTCTTGACCATTTTAACTATAATCCACAAAGATGTAGTACTTTCCAACAAAGGTATATTTTAAATGATGAACATTGGGGTGGTACCAATAAAAATGCTCCTATATTTGTATATATTGGAGGTGAAGCAAATATTGAATTTATCATTCAAAACATTGGTTTCATGTATGATTCTGCACCCCATTTTAAGGCCCTCCTACTCTTCATTGAGGTATGTGTATATATATGAATAATTAACTCATCCTTCTAATATATATATATATATATTCTCAATGACGGAATCAGAATTTCTATTAAAGGGTGTTAAAAAATTATAATATTGTCACTAACTAAGATTGAATACACAACCTTAAGATGCCTCTTCAACTTGTGTCAATAGAGGCGTCAACACTAATATATATACTTATAAAACTAAGGGTGTATCTACCATTTTTAAGACCTTATGTCACTTTGATTACTAGTTATAAGGGTGTATTTACCATTCTTAAGACCATAAGGGGATAAGTAATCATTTCTTACAACCTCAAGGGTCTAAATGAAAATTAAGTTAAATCTTTATCAAATGCTAATTTTGGTACTTATCTTTAGTAAAATCTTTCGCAAGTTGTTTTCAATTGTAATATAAATGATCATATTTTCCCCTATATTAGTTATATTTCCCTATGTTATATATTTTTTTTAACAAATATACTTTTATAGTTATATTTTTGAGTCATATTTATCCCTTACTAGTTAACACTAGCTATATTTACTCACCTCTTTAGCACTTGTTCTACGCGAGAGGGTGAAAAGGCAACGACAAAATCTGACACTCTCTGTTCATTTTTACTTATCTGATTTTTACTTAATTTTGCATATTTCTTTAAAAAAGTTAAGAGCATATCTTATTACGATATTCGTACTAATTCTTGTAATCACTTTTAATGAACTTAAGGAATGAGTAGTCAATGCTAAAAGTAAAATAAAAAATAAAGAAATTATTTTTTTATATGTTAAATTGAATAAGTAAAAGTAAATAGAGATATCTGAGTACGATTTTGGAAAATTGGGTATCAATATCTGAGATATCTGTCCCTAATTACTTGACCACTTTTGAATTGACATACCTATTAATAAAATAATTAATGGCATAGTGAGATTACCATTTTACCCCTATTAATTTTAAAGTGGATGAAATAAAAACTTGAGATTTTCAAGAATTTTTATTTTTTTCAAATTAATTAATTGAGGGTATTTATAATAGGTAAAAAAAATTTGTTTTTTCTTAATTTGTCAAAATGAATAAGTGATTAGGGACAACTAAAGAGATAAAAGTGGACAAGTTATTAGGAACGAAGAATGTTAGAACTACAACTAAAATTAGAAACCATAGAAACCTAAAGCTAACATTATAATAAGACGATGATTTTGATGTGAATTTTCTCGATAATAACGACATTTAAATTTTAAGTTTATATTTGGAGTCCACCACAATTCAACCCTAAATTTCCCAGTCCAACAAAGCCAACAACAAAAACTTTAGCCCAGGTCCCCCCACAACTTTTGTATTATTATATATAATACAGTTGAATTAATTATGAAGAAATTTATTATTTTAAGTAAGTTTTGTATAAATAACTTATCTTCTGATTAGCTATCAAATGTGTAGTCTGTAGATATTATTTATGTAAAATTTAATACTAATATTCACTCACTTTCAAATCAGCTATAAGCAACCCCTGCTGAGTTAAACTTCTCTATATATTGATTGCGTAAAATCATTTAATGAAATTACATATAACATATGAAATTAGTAATATGAAAAATTAACATGTTACACTAATTACTATGTTAAATATCATGATAAATTATATTTTTGCTACAATCGATGGATATAAATTAAATCCAAATTAAAACTATATACTACTATTGATAGATTTCTTTTTCCCCTATGACCCTATATATAATACTTTTGTCTTCCTTCTCAATTTATGTGATATTATTTGACTGAACATAAAGTTTAAGACATATAAAGATATTTTGTTATGTTTCGAAGCTGCCCTTAAAAAGACTTAAAGAATACACCTTTATGGATATTGCCAAGTATGTGGGACCTAACACATGTAAAATATTGGTATTATTGAATATTTATCAAATAAAGAAATATGCCATTTTTTTTTGTTGACTGACTAGAAATCGTGTCGTATAAATTGAGACAAACGTTGAATTTGAAAGTGATTAGGACGTGATGCGAAAGCTTACAATTGCAAATCATTATATCAATAAATCAGATGACAAAAACTTATATTAAAAACATAATATTATTATATGGTTTATGAAAAACTAATAAAAAAGTAAATATTAAAACTGTTGAGAGAAAAATCTCCCACAAATAAAACTCATTATGACTACATTGTGGATATTATTGTGTTCTTGATATGAAAAAGGAGTCTTCAATTTATATAGTTCCAAATTTTTCCTCCAGGGAAGAATAACTCAAATATGGAAGAAAATTATATTTTCCTTTCAGGAAAACTCAAATCATTTATGGTAATACTTTGATTTTCCTTCCAGAGAAAAATTAACTTCAAATAAAGTAAAAAAATTAGGACAAAACCCAAACAATGAGAGCAATATATATATATATATCCTCAGTGTGTTTGTTTGTTGGTTGTAGAAACAAATGAAAATGAGATTAATTCTTCTCTTTCTTGTGTGTTTTTCTCCAATCTCCTTTGCCAAAATTCCACCAAGATTATTCCCTTCTTCTTTAGATGATCAATTGTCATCTAAAGGGAAGCTTAGTTATGAGACAAATTACTTCACACAAATTCTTGACCACTTCAATTATAATAATCCACAAACTTTTCAACAAAGATATTTGTTGAATGACAAATATTGGGGTGGTTCTAAGAATAATGCTCCTATCTTTGTTTACACTGGCAATGAAGGTAACATTGAATGGTTCACTCAAAATACTGGATTCATGTTTGAAATTGCTCCTCATTTTAATGCCCTCCTAGTCTTCATTGAGGTACTCATCAAGCTATTTTGTTAGAACAATTCACACTATAGTTTTGTAACTTTCATCAATTTAATCTACATATATAAGAAACACAGTAACCTGTGATACTCTTTTTGAACGCTACAATTTTGGAGTGTGGTCTTTATTTCTGAGTTCTGACTAATACTCTCTCTTTACTTTAAAAAGCAGAAAAGGGCTATTTTGTGCGTAATTTCTTGTAAACTTGTTATAAAAGGCATTACGGCTTTCTAATAACTCGTTGATTTTTGTGTGTTTTTATATATATGTTTACATTGTAGCATAGGTTTTATGGGAAGTCAATACCATATGGAGGCGACAAGACAATAGCATATTCAAATAAGACTACATTGGGTTATTTGAGTTCAACACAAGCATTAGCAGATTATGCAACTCTTATTATTGATCTCAAGAACAACTTGACTGCCATTGACTCACCTGTCGTTGTTTTTGGGGGTTCTTATGGTGGAAGTATGTATATATGTTTTCGAGGATTGATTTCTCAAATGATCGCTCGACTAACAGTTATATTTCAAAAAGTCACGTTTCTTCTCAATTCTATATATATTTTTTCAATAAAGAAAGTGATTTTCTGATATAATATAGAGTATATTATTTGAGTGATTATCTGAGAAATCGACTCATATGATATTTCGAGGTTTGAGATTTATATTTAATACTATATATTCTTGTGACAATGTAGTGCTGGCAGCATGGTTTAGGTTAAAATACCCACATGTGACCATTGGGGCCTTGGCTTCTTCTGCACCAATTCTCAACTTTGGCAATATCACTTCTCCATATTCCTTTAATAATATCATTACGCAAGACTTTAAGGTAAAAAGCAAATCTTTTTTTTTATTTGTTGAATAAAATTAATTATTTAATATTTATGAAGGTATTCTGTGAAATAATCTTTCCTTTCCTTTCTTGTTTTTTTTTTCAAGTGTTAGCTTTCCTAACAAAGGAAAAATGTATTGCCAATTGTGCTTTGCATCAATATAATTAAAATATGTATTTTTAATTAAGTTGTCGAATAACAAAGGACAATTATGAAGATAAGGTTGACGATAAGATAACACGCATTATTAGAAACAAAGATATTTCTTCAGCCCGTAAATCTGTGAAAATTTGTGTTATAGATCATGATTTTTCATCGAACCAACTCACTAAGAAAATGTACGATGAGAAATAGATTTTCACTGAAATAGTGAGAAACTTCTAAATTTTTCTCTATGAGAACATTACTATTTTTTATTTTTCCATAAATCAATCAAAATATCTATAAGAAAAACAACTGAATATTTTTCAGTGGAATAATAATAATTTTTTGGTAGTGTACTTTTTTTTTGTCACTTACTTTTTTTCTTGACTTATATATATCTTTAAAAAAAAAAACAGGGTGAAAGTGAGAATTGTTACAAGGTGATTAAAGGATCATGGAAACAAATTGAAGATATGGCTAAAACAAAAGGTGGATGGGAGAAACTCAGAAAGTCATTTAGAATATGCAAGTAAGAATTAATACTTCCTCGGTTCACTTTTACTTGTCACATTTCATTTTACAAAAGTCAAATTTCATAACTTTAATCAATATTTTAAGATATATAATATGAGAAATATTACAACATATAATATTTTCCGTATAGTTTTTGAACATCTGAATTTAGAATTTATAAATTGAATTACTCTAATTCTTCGAAAATGAGTCAAATTAATTTATATAAAGCAAAACGCCGAACGAGTAAAAGTGAAATAAGGTGAATATTTTAATTAGCATTCATGAATATGGGAAATAATAATAAGTAATTAATATTATTGTTTTTAAATTATTTATAGGAATTATATTAGTCAAGGTTCTCTTGAAAATTGGCTCTATACAGCCTTTGTGTACACCGCCATGACTGATTATCCAACTCCTTCTAATTTCCTTAATCCATTGCCAGCCTATCCAGTCAAACAGGTACACTTTTTTCTTTTTTTAATTTCATTAATATTATAAACTTGTTTAAATTAATGCATGATTTATTTTTATGTCATGGTAAAGTAATTAATATCACTAAAAAGAAAATTAAATAATGGTACAGTTTTAATAAAAGATATAGTTGTGGCTTTCAACCTTTTCTCTTTCTTATTAATTTAATCCTTATGCCAACCAATGCTTAAATTTAATTTGAAAAAAGAAATCTTCCATCCTCACATTTTAAGGTATTTGCTGAAACTCTAGCTACTTTAGCGGTAATTAATTAATGGTAATTTAATTATCATTAAATACATATTTTTAGTAGCAATTTATACTTTTTGTAAATGTTTCTAAGTTCTATAGCGATATTAAATCTAATGACAATTAAATAATATTGATAAAAATTTTAGTACTCTTTGTTAATGTATATATTTATTGTTGCTAAAAACTGTTTTTAGTACAATAATAGTGTGGGTCTCTTTCAACAATTTGATTGGATATATCTAACTTCTCGTGAAATCCAAGAAAAGATGCTCAAAAATTTTACAAAAATAAAATGTAGTATATTATAATCATATAAGTAGAATATATTTTTCACAAAGTTTTGCGTTGAGTTGATTTAATTGATACAAATGCTTAAATGTGTGATTTTCTTAATATAAAACAAAGTTAAACAAAGTTCAATAACTTTGTTACATAAATTCTGAAAGTTCAATAGTTTTTGGATATATTAACTCAAAGTTCAATATATGTATGGTAGATGTCAAACTACCTTTGATTAGTTCATGTGTTTATTTCTTCAGATTTTAAATACCTTAGTGAAATTTTTTTGACTCCTCCCCGATAATGATAATAATAATGTAGATGTGCAAGGCAATTGATGATCCAAAGAGTGGAATGGACACATTTGAGAAAATTTATGGTGCTGCTAACATATATTACAACTACACTGGAAATGCCACTTGTTTCGATCTCAACGATCATTCTGATCCTCACGGTCTTTCTGGATGGACTTGGCAGGTATTATGATATCGCTTAAATTAATTACGAAAAATAACATACAATTGTACATTTGGACTTAATTAAGTTGTTTGTATAAAGTAGTTACATTATGACTTAAGTTTGACTGTACCATAATTAGGTAAGTTAGCTAGGACTACTTTTTTAAATCTTGAACAACTTTTATTTTTTATTCTTAAAAAAACATTAGTACTAATTAATATTCAAAATTTAGTAGCACGATAATTCAATATCATGCCAAATTGATTACCCAGGGGGATGGATACTAAAAAAAGTTGTTTATTTCAAAATGTTCAATCAAGACCTTCGATTAAAGGAAAAGGAATCTCAATTAGTCAATCAGTCTATTGTTCTGATTCTTTATAGTCTAACCCTGAAAAGAGAAAATTCATCGCATTTAGCCTGGTCTAGGTGTGGGAGATCTTTACCATATAGTATAGTAGCCCTGCCCTTCCGACAAGAACAATTACGCATTTTACTAAAGCCATTACCAAATAGCATTGAATATGATATATTAGTAATGCTGACATTAGTAATACTGCAGGCATGCACGGAGATGGTTATGCCGACCGACGGGAACAACAAGGAGAGCATATTTCCACCCTCCAAGTGGGATTACAATGAAAGGGCCCAATTTTGCAAATCAAATTTTGGTGTTGAGCCCAGACCAAATTGGGTCACTACAGAATTTGGTGGATATGTAAGTGGATCTTTATAGCCCGGCCCAAAATAGCAACTTTTCAACCCAGGCCCAAACCACCTTATAACATTTTATTTTGTTTTTTTTGTTTTTTTTCAGAATATTGAAAGGGTATTAAAGAGGTTTGGAAGCAACATTATCTTCTTTAATGGGCAAAGAGATCCATGGAGTGGTGCAGGGTTGGTCACATCTCTCTTTACCCTACTAGAAACAAAAGTTTTTCTCACTACGAATCAGTAAAAAAAAAATTGCTTTAAAACATGATTTTTTCACCCATTTTCCACGGAATTAGCTTACTGAAAAAATGCAGGATTGGAAATATATTCTCACTGAAATAGGGGGAAAATTCTTAATTTTTTCGTATTAAAACATTTTTCAGTGGAAAAATAGTGATTTTTAGTAGCGTTATGTAGCATTCACAAGTTTTTTTTGTATTATATTTTTTGACAGAGTGCTTAAGGACATATCTAAGAGCATAGTTGCTATCGTCGCGAAAGAAGGTTAGTAAGATCCACTAATGTAACGTACGTCTTAAAATTAATATGTCTATCAAAAGTGAGTCACAAATATATATATGTTTATATAATTTATCTGATTTTTAAAATATATTTTTATATTTGTGTGGTTGCTTCTTTTTAATTTCCTTTACATGACTTGTAGGTGCACATCATGTGGATCTTAGATGGTCAAGCAAAGAAGATCCAAAGTGGCTTAAACAAGTTAGAGAAAGAGAGGTCAATATCATATCCAATTGGCTCTCTCAATACTATCAATCTTTAAATGAAATTTACTAATGAAGTGATTCTACTTATAATATAATTCTCAAATGTTCAATAAAAAAAAAAATGCATCCAATTAGTTTGTATTCCTTGAATAATATCTTTAGAATATCAAAGAAAGGAAAAATATGTATGCATTGATAAAGTGATGTTCATTCAACTTCTTGCTAGAAAATGTATATATAATGGATATTGTAGAAAGAACAAATTGTAACCAATATGGGCCGGTATTACCAAATTGGGCCTTATCACTTTGGGTGATGTCACTGAGTTTTCATGTTTGGGACAAATCGAATATGGCCCAATATCAATTTCACTAAATTTTGATAGAATAATAAGGACTAGTTTTCTCACCAAAAGCAAACATGAGATAAGAAATTCAGTGTTCCGCTAAGATTTCAAATAGAAGTTATCTCTTATAATTGTATTTTTGGGCAACGACACATTTTGAAATCGTCTATATTAGCCCTATATAGTTTGTTTAAATTAAATTATTGTCCTTACTCCTTAGTTAGGATTGCACACTTTCAGTGATTCTCGCACTAAGTTTAAGTTAGCTCCTTAAAATTATTGTACCAGCTAATACTAGAACGATTATTGACTAAACTTAAATTAACTTCTTTAATTTGTGTCTCTCCCCGAGATTCACTCATTTTATGAGTTCACTCCCCCCCTCCCAAATCAATCACAAAGGCACCAAAGTAGATCAACAAGAAAATGGAATAGAATGGTCATTAAGTCAAAAACATAAACTTTTGATCTGTAACTAGATTGTCAAATTCCTTGTTCATCCCCAATATAGGCTCTGCAGTGCGTGATTTGGATTTAGTTGGTGCTCCAACATGAACATCGGGTGAAAAATTGAAAAAAAAATCGAGATTCTTAAAGACAAAATTATAATTAAGCATTACATTTAATAAATTCATGAAAACTATTACTACTTTTCAATGAGAAATAACTACCTTGTTATTAACTTATTATCTATAAAAACTCCTTGGTCTTATCCATATTGATTTGATGATTTTTTATTGATTGCTAATTGACTAATTAAGTGGAAGTCAGATCTAGATCCTTAATTATTTCAAGAGAGGATAAATTAAATATAAAAGCTTAACTAAGATAAATATATATGTTTTATACCAAAGTAGAAATTCAATGAAATTGACAATCAGTTTCATATTTCCTATTCAAAGTTAGGCATAAAAAGAATGTGACAGGTTGTTTTAATACCTCATGATTATCTAATTTCAATTATTATTATTTTCCAATTTGGTCGGTGACAAAATTTCTGCCAATTGTTTGACCTATATATATCTATGAAAAAAATAGAAGTCCAAAAGTAGAGACGTATTAATTTGACATCATGAAGACCCTTTTACACTTTTAGATAGACATTATACTTTACACTTTATATCCGTTATTACATACAGAGACAAATCCGTGCACCCGTTAACTTCAGAAAAAATTATATATATATATATATATATATATATATATATTATCTTGAGAAACTGATAGAAACGAAATATTAATTAACAGTGCCCATGAAATGAATAAAAGGATGCCTAGGATTAATGGCAAATGCTAATACATCCGGTCCAGAGGCGTATCCAGAATTTTGAGATGATGGGTGTGCACTATTTCGAAAAAGTGAATCTGAGATATAAATTTGATCGATTTATCATTTAGGTTCTTATCACTAAAAATAATTTAAATTTTAAAATTATAGGTCCAAAATTATTTATACTTATCCAAACCACTTAGAGACGTTACCCAATTTTAAAAAGGAAAATGAAACTAGATAAATAAAAGATTCAAATTTATAACCTCACTTAGAGAGGTGCACCCAATCATAATGCACGTTATGATACTTCAACTGTTGGTTCACATCTATATTTAAATATTTTTTTTAAAATATAACACTACTATACATGATTTCAGGAGAGGAGCATGGGTTCACGTGTACCCGATGACCCCCTCCTGGATACACCTCTACATCCACCCATGCGACCTGAGTTCTATCCCAACTAGAACCTCTTGTTTTTTTTTTTTTTGCTTAATATTGGTGCACCCAGAGTTTCTTATATAGTCACACCAAATCATCATTACATAAAATAGATTTTTTTTATCATTATCTAACGATAAATTTATACAACACGATATAATAAAACTTAAATAATAATCAAAACAAACATGATATATAACTAACAATACAATACAAATAAAACGTGTAACAACCATTGTGTTACAACTTGAGTAATAATTAAATGACATCATAAGTCATTTTATTTTCTAAATTTACTAAGTTTGGTGTCATTAATTATTAGGTAGGACTTAGGTCCAGGAGTGAAAAAGTAACAGTACGTAATAACTTTTCCCACATGAATCATGCAATTAATTAAAAAATGTCCTTAATTGACAAATAATTTATAGACCAAGAAATAAAAAAGACAAATAATTTATTGGGACAAGACACCTGCGGACCTAAAAGTACTATTATTCAGAAAATAACACTATTTTGGTGGGATCGATTGTTTGGTAGTTGGATAAGGTGAAAGTTATTCGTATATTATTTTTTGTATATCTTATATCATATTTAATAGGTAAATAAAAAATAAGTTATTTATATACAAAATTAATAAGATGTTTGGTTGACAATTCAGATTTCAAAAATTCACATAACTAATACATGTATAAGTTATAAGAAAATTTATGTATTATTTTATGCTGGATAGAAAGTGAAATAACTAATATATACCTGAGTAAAATAATACGTAAATTCACTTATAATCAGGAAGATTTTTCTTTTGAGAATATTCCTTCACTATATAATTCTTTTTTGGGGATTTAAAAGATTATCAGCAGGTAGAGATTATATCAAATAACAATATAGGGAAAAGGGGACATTAATATATATGCCATCCAACTATGCAGGTAGTAGTGGATTAAGACAGGATTTGGAAATAACAAAAGTTTGGTGCAACCACATTTTTGGTTATGATCACGATTCACGGGTATCAAATAAGCCAGAAGATATATTTGAGCAGATATGTATTTGTACTCAAGTAATGTCATGTCTAAATTAATTGATTTTGTTAAACTAGTTATATATTGTGTATATTAACGATTTCCACATAAGATGGTAAAAACATATATTCATGACTCTTGACACAAATTGAAGTGTCAAAAGTTTCATATATATTACTTTTTAATACAATTTCTTTCAACTTCTTTAAAATTTCATGTACTCATTCTTGAATGTCCGTTATGGTAGAAACTCATATGAGACTTTCTCAGATTTTATATGTGTGATACATGTTTTTTCTATATCTCTAAGAAAAAAACTCTAAATCATCATCAATACCTACTGTGTCGGCTTGTTTTTTTTTTTTTTATAAATGGAGACAGAATAAAGAGATCATAATAAAAATGTTCTATAATGTCTGAATATATTAAATCATCAAATCTTTTATTTCTTTTGAGATTTCTATTTTTTAATAGAAATACAATAAAAGATTGAAAACTCTGAGAGGGAATAAAATTTCTCTAGAAATTGCAGTTGGAGTGTATTCAATTTATTAGGACCACACTTATGATGGGACCTTGAGGATAAATATATATTCCAACAACTCTCATCTCATTATATTTCTACCATTTATCTAATCTACCTAGCTCCAACACATTAATTAGCTACAAAATTCTATACATTTTATATTCAATTGGAACTTCTATAAAATGTTTGGACACTTAATTAAATTGATATGAATACCATTTTTCTGATATTTTGTTTTATAATAAGAGGGATCCGCAGTCATTATCCTTTGAGTGCACACAAGGTAAAACTCCTGCTCTTGTGCAATAGCTCGCTAACCACACAGGAGAGGTAATCCGCACTAGGCAAGCCCGATGCGACGAGCTCGACCCAGAAGGCAGATTCCTTGAGAAATTTCGAACATGAAACTAGCCAAACAAGGGGTTTCTCATAATTAAATAGGAAATGAAAGACAATTTATTGAAATAAAGATATTTTTATACTCATTAAGTAATAATACATGTATTATTCGATCAAGTTATTGATCACAAAGGTATTTTTAAATCAAAATATTAACTACGAACATATTTATATAATTTTACATAGTTTAAAAATATTTTTACGATGTATAAATAAAAAGTTAACACATGTTGGTATAAGAAGTGGGAGAAAAAAAGGAGAAAGAAGTGGGCGGTGGCAGAATGCAGCTGAAATTAATTGGGCCTGAGTGTTTTTGTGGGCCCACAGATAAGTGGGCCTCCAACTCTATGATCCATGCAGCACGCTTTTTGTCAATTAAATATTAATAATAGCAAAATATAATATGATTTCTAAAAGGAAAAATTGGGACCATTTTCTGAAGCAGGCCTAACAGCTAGAAAAAGTGAAGACGTGGCTTCTTACGATAGACTGTAAGCAGATGTTATCAGTAGTTTCGACGTAGAGAGACTGTTTTCGATAAAATATCGACTTTAAAAAAATCTAAAATAATATAGAGAAAATAATAACGGAAATGAAGACAATCATGTAAAATCTGACAACGATAGTCGATAGTCATAAAAAGATACAACGATAATCAAATTGTAGAAAATATCACAAATAATAACAGAACTAAAGGATAATGACAAGAGTAGTACGTGGTTGCTTCTCATACACTACAACAAAAGAGTCATTTAGTGGCAAATGTATTTCTTTTAGTGGCAATTGAGTTGATGTTAATTTCACCCAGAGTCGATAAAGTCTTTAGCGACATATATATAGAATGTTGATTATAAATATTCATATTCATTATTGCCGTTAAATATAATATAGTACCAATAATATGACTACGCTTGATAATTACCACTGAATTTTTTATTTGTTTTAGTGATTTAATATTTTTTAATATTTTTTTGGTTACTAACATAAATATATGATTACACACAATAAAAGAGTATATATATGCATATTACAAAAAATCACTTGTTCATTGTGTGCTACAAACATATAAATTAATAGAGCAAAAT